AGTGTTTGGAACCTCTGCTTGTGCCTCAGTGGCTCTTGTAATCTGGCCATGATCTCTCTTTGTGTTCTGTTTTACCAGCTCTTGACACCGTCCAGGTGTGTCACACTGAGCCTGTCACCCTCAGGACACTCTTTTTCCATTTGTTTGTACTTTGCTGCTTGCCTTGCTTTGTCATTCCCTGCCTATTCCAAGTTTTCCTCATGGACCAGTGGAACTTACCCAGCATGCACCACTGCATTTCTTTCCCAGCAGTAGCTGTGGACTGGTTATCTGTGGATGCATTACCACCATTTTCCTCAGTTGAGCTCAGTAAATGTTTACCAACTGCTTGAGCAGCCCTGGTGACATGCACATAGCAGCCAGTGGGCATGAGAACAGCTGGTGTTCTGGCAAGTGTGCCAGAAGCCCACAAGTGACTCCAGAATGTCTGGTCAGGACAGTGCCCTTCCGGCTGCACCACCCTGCAGCAGTCATGAGGATATAATGACCGCCTGGACTCTTGACTCTCCATGGGTTTTAGTAACGGAACTCTTCAGAGTTGTCAGTGTTTCCATGAGATTATTAGCAAACAGCAGGGAACCAATTTGGGCAAAAGAATTTGGTGCCTTCAGATGCAGGTATAACAGGGATAGGATAGTTCCTCTGGACAGCATGGCAGTTTGAACTCAGAACTGTGTTCCATCACATAGGAGCATTTCCTTCCAGCCATCTGATCCTGAAAGGTAGCATCACTGACTGAGAGCAGCTTGATCAGTCTTTGCCCATTTCACTGTTTCACCTGTGGCTGAGGGAGCACAGGGCGACTGTTGGTGCTCAGAGACCGGTGAGCAGCTCATCCCAGGGGCCGGCCTGCTTGCCCTGCCCACAGGCAGCTCCTGGATGCCCTGCACCACTTGTCCCGTTCCTCCTCTTTTCTGGAGGGTGAGGGAAGGCCTTGGTGAGAGGCTCCTCTGGAGGACTCATTCCAGCCACAAGCTTCTCAGTTCTTGTGGTTAGTCATGGAAGCAGAGCAACCTTCCTAGAGTCTGACTGATATAGATCAGTAGCTTTTTTCAGTCTGTCTCAAAGTTGTAAGTAACTAAAGACCTTACTCTGTTTTGTAGTAACATTCTTTCCTTATGGTTCTCGTTCTCTCTCTCACTCTCACTTTCTCTCTCTCTCTCTTTCTCGTTCTCTCACTCACTTTCTCTCTCACACACACACACACTCATGGGGGCTTTAAAAAACGAAAGTAAACAAATAGTTAAATAGGTAAATAAGTAGTTAAATAAAATAGAAGATCCAAATTCTAAATGCCTTTTTTTGATGTGATGTACACTATACACACAGAGATGTATATATATATATGGCAAAGAAAAGTTTTTTTTAAAAAAATCAAAAATATTCTGTTAATATTTCCAGAATTTTATAGTGTGGTTTGATCATATTAACCCTCTTCCCCTGCTTCTTACTTCCCTACCTGCTCGACTTTGCGTTTTCTTTCTCTTTTAAAACACTCATTGAGTCCAATTTGTGCTGCCCTAATACTCTTGGTTTTTTTTTTTTTCTTTCTCCAAGACAGGGTTTCTCTGTATAACCCTGGCTGTCTTGGAACTAGCCAGTCCAAGAAAAAGAAACAAACAACCCAGATGATACATTATATGTAGGGTTTAGTCTGAAGAAAAAGTGACTTCTTAGATGTGTAAGTTTCTGGCATCTCTGGTAGTGCTGAGAATAATTTTGTGCATATATATGTAATGAATGTATTTCAGTTTAACTAGTTTGACCAGTTAGGTTTGTTTGTGAGACATTTTACCCATGTTACCATGAGTTGGTTTGCAAGATTTAAAAATGAACTAGGAAACAAACAAAAAAATGAACTGGAGCATTGGACATGGCGACATCTACCTATAATCTTAGCACGTGGGAGGCTGAGGAAGGCATGATACACATGCCAGGCCAGCCTGGACTACATCTGGAGGCTGCAGCTTGAGAAACCCCACCAAGACCAGCTAGTTAGAAGCATACTTTTTAAAAAAGAGCTCCTTGACCTCTTAGTGAGCTTTCATCTTTTCTGAACAGTGTAATTTTGGCTGATACAGTTTGAAATACATGCAAATTTGACACACTAAAGACTTAGTTAACTCTGGTTCTGCCTATGATTTTCAGAAAGTGCCTGTAATGAAAGACAGTAAAGAAAGCAGACTAAGAAACAGAACTTTTTGCTCCATGAGTTTCTTTCTGATCTAGGGTAGTGACCTACTTAAATATCCATGACCACAGTGTAGGTAGCCATTCTAGCCTGTTAAGGTAGCTTGGGAGAGGCCTTTGTAGAGTAAGCTTTTTGTTTTGGCATTGGCTTTAAGACTTATTTAACTCCAGCAGGGCTGTGATGGTGCATGCTTTTAAGGCCAGCACTCAGGAAGCAGAGGCAGGCAGACCTCTACGTTCAGGGCCAGTCTAATCTACTGGGGAGTTCCAGGATATCCAGGGCTACAGAGCCCTGTTTCGAAAAACAAATAGACAACAACAATAAAAAGGAAAAGAAAATTGAATACTGCTTTAATTGCACAGACACTACCTGTGAGCACTGAGTATGTGCTTGTGCTGAGTAGCTTAAATCATATGTGGGTGTCAGGTGTACCAATCGATGCTTCTAAGCAGTGCATTTTGACTGTTTCAGGTGAGTTACCTGTATGCATATTAGTACCTAGAGCTAGGACTTAATAATCACTTTGAAAATATAGATCTGGAAGCATTTATAAACCTTGTTTTTATGGGATGGAGAGATGCTCCGTGGTTAACAATGCTGGTTGTTCTTACAGAAGACCTGAGTTTAATTCTCTGCACCCATATGGTAATTGGCAACCATTTAACTCCAGATTCAGGGGAGCCAACATCTTCTAAATTCTTTGGGCACATGGTGCACATACATATATGCAAGCAAAACATTCATACACATAAAATAAATCTTAAATCCTATTTTTAATGGAAATATATAACTACAGAAAAATTGATAGAGGGGGAAAAGGTATCTATAATCCTCCCATTCTTTTTTTTTCTTTTCACATGGGAGTTTTATTGGAAGAGGAGAGAGAAGGGGCAGAAAAGGGGACAGAGAAAAAGAAGAAGAGAAGGAGGCAGAGATGGGTCCCTGGGGACAAGAGTGGCCAGAGACAGAGAGAGCACTGGGAGGTGGGCAAGGCCCACCTTTTAAAAGGAAACATAGCGAGTGTGCACAGGGAGTGCTCTTAGTCCTCCCATTCTTTTAAGATTTGTTTTATGTATTTTATGTATATGAGTGCTCTATTTGTATGTATGCCTGCATGACAGAAGAGAGCATCAGACAAAAGAAGCCATTAGATCCCATTACAGATGGTTGTGAGCCGTCATGTGGTTGCTGGGAATTGAACTCAGGTCCTGAGGAAGAGCAGCCAGTACTCCTAACCATTGAGCCATTTCTCCAGCCCCATAATTCTCCCATTCTAACGGAGTAACTACTTTGGTCTGTTTTCTTTCTAGTCTTTTCTTTCATGTATAGACTTTACGTAGCTGTAAACATATTTCAAAGCAAATACCTTTGTCAAGGGAACGTACATTAGATATATATAGCAAAGAGCCAAATTTCAAACCAGATTCTAAACCAGCTCAATTTGTACCCCTTCCTTAGGTTTTGATTCCTTCCCAGATAAAAGAGGGTATTTTTAATTCTAGTGTTGAAAGGCAGACATTTTTCAAGTGACTTGCTCTGATAAAGCCTCTGATTAGCTTCTTTAAAATAAGTAAATGTGGGCTGGAGAGAGAGCTTAGGGATTAAGAGTGCTGCCTGCCCTTCCAGAGGTCCTGAGTTCAACTCCAGCAACCACATGGTGGCTCACAACCGTCTATAATGAGATCTGATGCCCTCTTCTGGCATGCAGAACATTGTATATGTGATAAATTAATCTTTTTTTTTTTTAAAGATAAATAAATGTTAGGTCATGCTGTGAGAGGGCACAGGGGCACATACTCAGAGACACATTGTGTGTTGGCACCAAGGTGGACAGGCTAATTTTTAAGTGTGTTTTGTATTCTACTTAAGTAGTTACAGGACATTATTTTGTGTGCAGGTTGTCAGTTACCTGTGTCAGTGGTTCATTTTGTGGACAGGGCATGCCTTTTCTATCCCTGTACCCAGTAAGTAGCTGATACTTTCCTTGAATCTGAGAACTAAACACCTTTGTTTATTGGAAGTGGTGGATTGAATGAGAGGTTGAAACAAAGAAGTGAAGAAATAAGATGTAGGTGAAGGGTGTGCAGTCAAGGTCCATGTATTAGACCCAGCACTTCCTACCTGACAGGGTAGTTGTGTGTGAGAAGCCCAGTGTTGTGAGCACATGAAATAGCAGTTTCTTTGTGGTGGTTCAGTATATACTTTTTGGGGGATTTTTCCTCCTCCTGTGTCACCCGAGGAGCCCTCTTCCCATTTTCACGTCTCATATGTTGTATCACACTGTCCATCCCACATCCTTAAAATCTTTTTTCTTCTCATGACCCCTCTCTAGTTGCACATAAAGTCTGGGAGAGCTTAATATCATGCTTTCATTGTTCTTGCCGTACGACCCAGAGGACCACTCCTGGGCATCCCACCATACAGCACTTGTGCATTTGTGTGTATTGCTCTTTTCATAGCAGCAAGATGGAGTCATCTTAGGTGTCCATCAAAAGATGAGTGACTGAAAGCGCTGAACACATACACAATGGATCTTTTGTTTTTGGAGACGGTTTCTCTGTGTATCCCCAGATGTCCTGAAACTCACTCTGGAGACCATGCTGGCCTTGAACTCACAGAGAGCCACCTGCCTCTGCCTCCTGAGTTCTGGGATTAAAGGCATTTGCCTTTAATTTAAAGAAAAATCACAGTGGAATTTTCTGAGCCCTTACAAAGAAGACTCTTAACAGGGTGTCTTATTTTAAGCCCAAGTAAAGTCTTTTTTCAGGAAGACTGGCTGATATGACCCTGGCCTTTCTTTTTCTTTCAGTCTTCGAGCAGCGACAGCGGTGGGAGCAGCAGCAACAGCAGCATCAACAGCCCGGACAGGGCCAGTGGGCCAGAGAGCAGCTTGAGCCACATCATCCCTGGATCCTGCCCCAGCACCCCCCAGCCGGTGCTGCCCGAGCAGTCTGCACTGTGCCAAGGCCCTTACTTCCATATCAATCAGACCCTGAAGGAGGCCCATTTTCACAGCCTGCAGCACCGAGGCCGGCCTCTGACATGATGCTCCGGCAGTTTCTTGCCTTCTGTGAAGGGACAGCACTGTGCATATTGAATATTTCAACTTAATGATTTGTTTTTAAAAGTTGCACACAGAAAAAAAAAATGCCTGTTGGCTTTTAGTCTATATTGAGTATTGGGTCAGCAGGCAGCTGTTTACGTGGGGTTTTGCTGCATTATTGCAATTTCAGAGGGGCTTGGGAGCAATTTTTTATAGGATTCTTTTGAGAGAGGGCATCAAGTCCATGTCATGGCAGTGTTTGAGGAAGTCTCTGACTGATTTCCACATCCGTCAGACATTTACTGTATGTAAGAGCCTCTTAAAAATGTGGGATCTTCAGTTTTTTTTTTTTTTTTTTAACTCAATAAACTAGTAAAGAATATCTTAGTTTCCATGGGGGAAAAAAACCGTAAGTTTTCTCTCCAAATATAGGAAGTTTGACTCAGTCTTGCACTGATGTTAACTGCCATACTACCTCTTAGTGTGTAGGTGTCCATGGAAAATCCTTCTTGGAAGGAAACAGCCGCCTGCCCTGAAGACCTTGAGGCCAAGCACTTTCCCTGCCTGGTTGTGTCTGTTCCACATTTGTATTCCCAGGGAGGATGTCACTTGCATACCTGTTTTCTTCTAGTCTTCACTGCAGATGCTACAGAGAACCCCACAGTCTAAGAAATACCTAGTAATTGTCTTATAAATCTGCGTATTAACAGCTTAACGGATAACCCGTGCAATGCCCATAGCCAAGGCAGTGGTCGGTGCTGATGAAGCACAAGCTGCCTGTTAGCTAAAGAGTGAGGATTTAACTCATGCTTGACAGCACCCCTGCCTGCTAGGGGCCACATTCCATCATCAGAACCAGGAAGATTGGGGCAGTGTAGAAACACAAGCAGAGGCACCTCTGGGAAAGCAATGCAGTAGTATTTAATTAGAGCCTGGGCGTTGTTTCCACGCTACTTTGTCATACTAGAGAGCCAGGCAAGCTTGAATAAGGAAGATGCAGGTGAGTCGTCTTCCTCGCTGGCGAGCTGTCTGAACAAGGAGCCAGGATGTGTCGGGTCACCTGCTCTGGAGAGTGCTGGGGAGCCAACCTGCCATTAGATGAAGAGGAAGTGCCTTAAGCCTCCTGCCAGCTCCCCCTCCACTGCACCCCACTCAGGCCACACAACACAGGCAGCAGCACCGAGGAGCAGGGATGGCTCTAGTAAGAAGGGTCTGAGGGAGCTGCTGGACCAGAGCAGGCTAGACTGATACAGCTACAGTCTGAAGACGGCCCGCGCCAGGAAGAGTGGACACGCACTGCTGCTCTGAGGGCCACAGCATGGGAGGCCAGCTGTGTGACATGGGAAATAGTGTTATGAAGCCCGGAGGTCAGAAAGTTGCTTTCTTTTAGGACTGTCTTCCAGATTTTAAAACCCTGTGTTTGTTGAGGACGCAAATCTTACTGGGTTTGCTGGCAGGGAATGTGGGAAAGGAGACTTTTCTGGAATTCTATCTAACAAACAAACAGTGCTCTAAGAAAAGCTGTCAAACACACATGTACACAACACAATCCAGAAATACCCAGGAGGGCTCCGGCAGGCTTAATGGATGGCATCCTACCAAAACAAAACATGTATTAATAAAACAGTGCTCAAGAAAGCCCGCTTCCTGTTTCCCACCCAGCTAAAGGCACAGATGGGACCATCTACAAGACAAGGGTCTGCTCCCCATGCTCGGATGGCAGTGCTGGAGCCAGTCACCAGTCACTCTCCCTACCCTCCAACATGCAAGAAACCACCTCTGTCCTGTGCTGTGTGTTCTTCATGGACTCAAGCCAGTGGGCGTCTTTATGAGCTCAAGCCAGTGAAACCTTGTATTCTTGCGCCGCCATTAAAAAGCAGCCTTAGTGTATTGCCATATGGTGCCTAATTGGTTATTTCTAAAAGAGTTGGTGGGGGGTTGGAGAACCAGGAGAGCCTCTTGGCACTAACCTGGGTTTGTGTTTCGATGCCTCTGCCGGTTGTTTTTGCCTTTCTCGTGCTTGTCATGCTCAGGGGAAGCAGCCCAAACCTCAAAGAAGAAAGACGATTTCACACGGTGAACAGCCAGCCGCGGCCGGCCGCGGAGCCGCTCGAGCTACTCACCTGATCTGACTGGAGGCCAGTGGCAGGATGTTGTGGGGTTCCTGGGAGTTGAATGTGCTGCTCCGGGAGGCAAACTGTTTCTCTGTACCAGTGACCAATCCAAATAGAACCTGCAGGTCAGAAAGGGAGGGGGCCCAGTGACTCACCCCAAGAGACAGTGGCTTCCCTGTCTAGCCATCGTTTGGGAGAGTACTTTTAAGTGCTAATTTTTCAGAATTATTCCTTAATCTGCCAAGGCTGAGACGCTCAAAGCCATGGAGTTCACTTCTAAAACATTTATTGTGTATGCGCACAGCCGTCCATGTCCACAAGCACACCTGAGGTCAGAAGACAACTTTCTGGAATCAGTTTTCTTCTCACATAGGGGTCCCAGGGACTGAACTTGGTGTTGTTGGCACACAACTTACACACTGAGCCTGGTACCCATGTATTTCTTTTTGTGAGGCTGTATAAATAAACTTACCCTTACCTCCAGCATGGCTATTGAAGATCTCACCCCTGTGCCCGAAGGACTGGGGCAGACTTGCTTAGTGATTTGAACCAGATGCAGCCACTCTCCTCACTAGTCACACTAGCATGACTGTGACCCAACTTACAGAAGTCCGCTGTACCAGGCGATTAAGGTTGCTGTTGAGATGTGGTGTGAAAACATCCAGGTCAAAAGGGTCGATGAGGGCCTCTAGCCTGTCGGTCACTTTCTCAAGTCTGCGAAGAGTCACAAACCTTATTCTCCACACACTTCAGGACAGAAAACGACCTGGCAGTTCTTACTACGATACAAACCCCAGAGGTGGGTATTGTCCAGCCGAGTTGCATAGTGTCCTTAGGACAATCAGCCAGACATAATGCCTAAGTTATGTGCCTTCTGCTTACCAAACAGGTTCTGCCTGCTTCACTTGGCTGTGAAATTTATTCAGCAAGTGTTACTTAACCTACCTGTTACACAGTGACTCACTGTAAGAGAAACTAAACAATGTGCAGGATGTGGCAGGCTTTCTTGGGAGTACTTCAGGAAAGGGGCCTCAGCTTAGGCTGTTGAACACCAGCATACAGACTATTGTAAGATTGTGCCCGACCACAGCTAAGTAGTACAGGACACACAATGGGAGATGTTTCCCTGTGGTGTGGCCTCAGGGCTGCCCAACTGCTCAGCTCATGGACACCGCCACCAAGACAGGGTTTCTCTGCTTGTAGCCCTGGCTGTCCTGGAACTTGCTCTGTAGACCATGCTGGCCTCAAACTCAGAACCGCCTGTCTCTGCCTTCAAGTGCTGGGATTAAAGATGTGTGCCACCACTGCCTGGCAGCTTTTAGATATTCTACACAGTGCAAGACATAGTTTATTGCTGGCCCAGACAAAGATCTAAATCCTGGACCTCAAGTGTGGTTTCAACTGAACGCTGCCCTCTCCTGCCACTGTAAGTTGGGAAAACCCCAAGAGGAAACCTAAGTAGACTGTCCATTAATTGCATCAGGAAGAGGCTGCCTTGGAGGCGTCCAGAAGGAATAGTCACCTGGAGTCTGGCTTGCTCCGGCCACTCTTCACTTCCTCCCCCTTGCTGGTCAGAACGATGTTGAGGTAGCGCAGGTCATAGAGGAGCTGCAGGGCTCGATTCTGGGTCATTGGAAATGACCCTTCTTTCTGCAAGTGAAGGCTGGCTGGTGAGGGGCTGATTGCTTACATGGGTCTCAAAGCAGCTGCAGGTTCTGCTTGTATTACAGCTTGGTACAGTTTCAGAAGGTGCCGCTGACACCCACAGGTTCAGTATAGAACCCTGGTCTTAAAATCTCAGAGACCCAGCCCTTAAAGTCAGGCTCTGGGCTAAAGGTAGCTATCACAAAGGGGCAAGTCTTTTTGCCTGGAGATGTACGTGAGCTCTGAGGCCCAGAAGGGAAGGATGGCCCCGCCTTTAAATGTTCCCAGTGAAATAGGACAAGTCAAGGGTCAAAGACACAGGTGTAGTGGCGGCCGAGAGGCTAGGACCTCCTCCCATCCTAAAAAGAACCTCTGGTGCCACAGGTTCCTCCATCTTGCATCTTACTCAGCAGCCAGCATGGAAGGGATGGGTGTATCTCCCCATCCCTGGGGATGGGAAGCCACTCCCAGCTGGGCGGCCCATCTACTGCTATCTGATCCTGCGTACATCAAGGGTTTAAAGGCTTGCCCAGAGCCTGCATGAGCAAATGGTGGCACTGGCGCCAGAGCTGTTTTCACTGTGAAAGCTTTTACCGTGCTGTCCACCAGTCCTGACTTCAGGGTGACAGTCAACCTGCAGAGCTGAATGCCTCTCCTAACACAATGAAGCATATTTATGGGACCAGGGCCAGGGCTGGGCAATGATGCCATTCTGTGCCCCTCATACAAACTGCCCAAATCCAAGAAAAAGGTCTGCTGGTTTGGGAAAACATTGGATAGCTACCGTTATCTGTTGTTCCTCTGTGAGTTGCTCATAGGCAGCTGTGACTTGGGCCACACAGGTCTTCAGCATCTCCTGCAGGGTCACCTTGGGCAAGGCATGGCCTCCAACCCGATTAACTTCCTGGCACAAGCTAAACAGGAAGGACTGTACATACCAGGACGGCTGAAAGATAAGAACATGTTGCTAAGTGCACTCAGCAAGCCCCATGCGGTCCTCACTTAGGATACCTTGACCTCTCCAATCAAGCATCTGCCCACTGAGCGAGCGCTCAGCTGGTCCTCGGAAGGCACACATGGAAATGGCTTTCTCAAACCACCCTGCTCCCTCAGAGCAGTTGGTCCCCTTCTGCGGCCCAGGCACCCGTGACAGAGGGACGAACTCACTTGCGTAGGGAGGCGTATCTTGGACGTGACACTGCTGCCAGACTCGGTCTCCTCTTGAATTTCTAGTTCATCCCAGTTGGTGGCAGTGGCCAGGATTGAGCCAGCATCACTTAAAAGCAATGACTGAGTGAAGCCGCAGATCAGGAACTGGTGATAAAAAGAACAGACCATCAGTTCCTCGGGGCCCTCGCAGCTTCGGTTTAAAGTGGCCAGTGTGTGGGTGGCAAACAGCCAGCCCCACTGCCCTGGCAAGTCAACACCCAGCGGGAGGATGCAGTTGCTAGCCACCTTAGTAATGCCTGGTGTCACCTGGATGGAGACCACAGGGGGCTGTGGTATTGACACACAAGCAGGAAGCAGGATTCCCTGTCCAGGTTGGTAAGAGGAAAACATGCCATAAAGTCTAGGGGGAGGAACAGAAGTTTACACAGGAGCTGCCTGGCGCAGGTCATGGCAGATATGAATAAGCATTAGCTATGAATAAGTCAGCAGGACTGAGAATGGCCAGACTGGAGTAAGGCCCCAAGAAGTCCCGTCACTCCGTGTCACTCACTTTCACAAGCGCTGAGCTCCAGACCCGGTAGGCCACGACACTCTGTTGGAGCAGGATTTCCTTCACTTCCTGCCACTGGGCCTGCACGGGGGGCACCTCCTGAGCTCTCTCCTTCTCCTTCCCCTGCTGTCTCAGAGCCCTGGCCTCTCTTGCAGGTTTTTCCGAGCCCCCACCCTTTCCCACAATACACTGCTTCAAGTGAGGGCACAGTTCTCCCAGGGACTGGCAGAGTCTGGCCATGAAGAGGACTGCATGCAGTTTGCTGCCGTGAAGGATATCCTTCTGATCGCGTGTGACTTCTTCAATGGTCTGCAGCTCTGCCTGGATGCAGCCCACAATGTACTTGATGCAGGCCACAGACTGAGTCCGCAGCATGTCCTGCACAGTCCCGGCATCTGCATGTCTGTCAAAGGCAGAGTTCTTAGCCTGGTGCACGGGAGAGGGGTCCTTGGGCAGTGGTGTGTCACTGGAGGGAAGGTAGGCCAGGAGGTCGTCCAGTTTAACCTTCAGCTTAGAATCCAGGGCAGAACAGAAGCTCTGGACCCCAGGGCTGACCGCTTGGGCTTTCATGGAGAGGCCACTGTTGGCAAACTGAGGCCGGTTTGCCACGCTGACCCAGGCAGCATCAGAAGGCAGGTCGCTGGGACTCTCGGACCAGAGGAAGAGAGACATGTTCTGCTCAAAGTGGACATGCTTATTCGATGTGGAGTTGTTGCTCTCCAGTTCCTGCAAAGCTGAGACCAGAAGCTCTTTGGAGCTGCTGGAGATGGATTCAAAACCTTCTCTGGTGAGGGTCTAAAGAGGAGAGCAGAGTTTCAGTCATTACTTCATGGAACTTTACAAACGAGCTGAAATGGCAACTTATGGCAGCATCTGGAATGTTCTTTACCACACTCACAGTGAGTATTGGTGCCTGAGTGTGAAATGCCATGCAGGCTCAGGGGTTAACGGCTTGCTCTACCTTGGTGGCACTCTGGGAGGTTGTGGCTACTTTAGGAGTGGGTTTAATGAAAGCAAGGCCACCAGTGTCTCCTCAGGGTCTGTGCTGTTGTCCCTCCCACCCCATCTGCTTCCTGTTTGCCACAAGGTAAAAAGGTTCTGCTGCATGCTCTGGTCACGTGTTCTGCCTCACTGTGGGTCCAAACCAGCCAAGTCACCATGTACTGAACTCTCAAAACTCTGAGCTAAAATACATGGTTCCCCAAGGTATTTCACAGCGGTGAGGAAAAGGGCTAACGCTGTCAGCACTGTGTAGCAGAGGACAAACCATCATGGAGGGGCATCATACAGGGACCTGCCAATTCTCTTAGCTTTTAGAAAATTTAGATGTGGTAAGAAACAGGGAAAGAAGACATCCAGTACACGAGGGCATTTTCAACGTGGACAAAAGGGCACACTAGGCTTGGGCATCAGGCAGTCTAAGAGATGCTCACTGCACCTGTAACCGATCTAAGAAGAGCTGCTGCATCAGGTCCTCCCAGAACAGGAGCGGCTTCTCCAGAAGCCGCCGACACACCACCTCCCAGCTGTGGCTGGCAGACTCATTGGTGAGCAAGTCCCATACGGCATCTCGGATCCCTGCGAGACCTCTCATGCTCTTCACGTACACAAGCAGGTTGGTGATCCCATTCTTAATGTCTTCACTGCACCTGCAACAAGACCACTTCCTTGGGCTCCACTAGATTCCTGACGTCTGCATGCATGCGTGTGTGTGTGTGTGTGTGTGTGTGTGTGTGTGTGTGTGTGTGTGTATAAAGAGAGGGTTCACTATAAACTCCTGGCTGGCCTGGAACTTGCTATGTGGACAGGCCTGTTTCCTGCGCACTGAGACTGAAGGTGTGCAGTAGCATACCTGGCCTTGATTTGTGGTTTTATTTCATTAAGAAAATTCTTAAAGCTTCACCTGAAGCCTCTGGCCTGGGTCCATCTGCACATTTCTAACTGGACTGACGCTGGGGCTCTGCAGCCCTTAGCAGGCCACGTTTTATCTAGAGCCCCATGGCATGGCTCAGAACCAGCACATTAAACAAAAGCTCAGAGTAGACATAACTCAAACATAAGGAGAAAAGCTTTTACTTACTGTTTCAGAAAGATAAATTATTTTTAAAGATATTATTATTATTTTCGACAGGATTTCTCTGTGTAGCCATGGCTGTTCTGAAACGCATTGTGTAGTCCAGGCTGGCCTCAAACTCAGGGATCTGCTTGCCTCTGCCTCCCAAGTGCTGAGATTAAAGGCGTGCACCATCACTGTCTGGCAGAGATTTTATTTTTAATTATGTGTACTTGTGTGCTTGTGCAGGTACCCCCAGAGGTCAGAGGCAGCAGATCCCCTTGGAGCTGGAGTTACAGAGATGGATGTGGGCTCTGGGAACTGGGTCCACATCTTCTGGAAGAACAGCAAGCGCTCTAGACTGCTGAGCTATTTCTCTAACTCACGAAAAAATAGCTTTCTGATTCTCCCACACAGATAACTAAGAGGGTACAAGGGGAGCAGTGCACACCGAGTGGGTGGCTGACATGTGGCACGTCACCCAGGTGACTGAGAGTCTCAGTGCATGCCTCCCAAGTGTGGCCACATCAGAGGCTGCATGCAGGTCAAGCCTCGGGGATGCTCTCTGAGTGCTTACATGTCAATCCACTTCTGCAGCGTGTCCTTCAGGTACTCCTGGCTGATAGGATGAGCGAGCGTCCGTAGCTCTGGCTGGAACTCCATAATGGAGGCTGGCAGGTGTCTGAACCAGCTGCACAGCTGCATCTCCCCTTGCAGGACACCGATGCCCTTTCCTGGAGAAAAGCCAAGGGAGAAGAATCCAGGCTGTGCTTTGAACAGCGTATTAAGAACTAAACAACCAGGAGGGAAATCCTAGTCCACTGCCCTTGTGGGGCAGTCTGGATAAAGGTTAGATAAAGGAAGAATAGGAGATGTCAAGCCTTCATTGTGTGTGGCAGCTTCCCAACACTCTGCCATTCTGCTGGCTGAGAAGAATAGTACAGCCAGGAGAGAAAGGAGGGCAAAAAACGGAAGGAATGAAAGGATGCTGTACAGTCGTGCGTGGGTGTGTGTGAGCACGCATGCGCAGGTGGGATCTTGCCATGTCACTCAGACTGGTCTCCGACTCCGAGCCCTAGTGGTCTTTTTGCCTAAGGTTTCTGAGTAGCTAGGGATACAGGCACATGGCAGGCACTGAGTAGTTAGGGGCAGGGTTTCTCTGTGCAGCTCAGGCTGTCCTGGAACTCACTCTGTAGACCAGGCTGGCCTTGAACTCAAAGAGATCCTCCTGCCTCTGTCTCATGTGTGATGCCAAGTAATAGGCCTGCCACCTCCAGGTTTCAGCTTTTGGTTTAACCTCACTTCCCCAGGGAAGTCCTCTTTGGCCTTGAGAAGATCCCTCCAATGTTGCTAGGCAACCGGTACTTTGCATTTACAGCAATGATTATGCTTGGCATCAAGCAGCACCCTGCACCGCTGAAGATTCAGCATCTGCCTCTACAACTCAACTACGATGTTCGCGGAGTAGGAGACAGAATCTTCCCAGTTCACTGATTTATCCCCCAAAACCTGGCATAGGAGCTGGGACATGGGGCAGATCAGCTGGGAATAAGGAGAAAGGGTCTGAGCTCACCTGTGGGATGCTGGCTTGTGATTGTCTCCAGGGTGGAGAAGAGCAAGCCACAGGGCAGGGATGGGTCGGGCAGCACGCCTTCCGGTAGAGTGTAGAAAAGAGCATGGGCTTGGTTCAGAGTGGTAGCCAGCAGCTCCACCAAAGAGCAAATCTGGGTCTTGATGCTAGCACCTGGAAGAAGAAATCACCCTCGTTTAAACTTTCCCTTTACCGAGGCTGGACACAGGACACTGATGCCTCTGGTTGTCTCGACACATGCCGCTCCATCCCGTTAGAGAATTTTAGAGGAAAGCACACCCACCGTGGTGAGGCTGGTTCAGGAGTTTCTGAATAGTCGCCTTTCTGGCCATCAGGAAGTCTGTGAGGGCTTGGCGGGGAGAACTCTCCTCCAGGAGCATCACAGAGCAGAGGGCCTCGGCCACAGCCTGCTCTGACACATTCTGGCATCTGAGCAGCATCTTGCTTTCATGCAAAATAGTTGACCTAGGAAGACTCACAAAGATCAACAAGGAATGGCTAACATTTGGGATGACGTATCTCACCCCAAACTAGGTGAGAAAGAAGAGGGACTCCGGGACACAGTCGGGATTAAGTGAGGTCCAGACATCCTTAGAGAGCCTGCCCCCCCCCACTTACCGGAAGTGGCTGGCTGCTGCCACCTGCCGGATGAGAATGGGGAATCTCGAGAGGATGGGGCTGTATCTGGAGCTAGAGGAGTCGAGCTGGAGCAGGCTGTGCAGGTGGCAGCAGAGCAGGTAGAGCTGTGTGGCCTGGAGATGCTGAGAGGCTTCCATGGAGCTCCAGATCTTCTCGGGGATCTCGAACAGCAGCTTGATCTGGGCAGCCATACTGTAGAATTTCTCGGATGGCGGCTGCGGCTGGAGGGCAGGAGGAAAGCGAACAAAAGCATGGCTCCCTTTATACGGGCTTTAAAGCTTTTGCCAGCTGTGGTGGTGCACACCTTTAATCTCAGCACTCAGGAGGCAGAGGCAGGTGGATTTCTGTAAGTTCAAAGCCAGCCTGGTCAACACAGAATGTTCTAGGACAGCCAGGGTTAAACAGAGAAAACCTGTCTTTTTTTTTTTTTTTTTAAAATCAAGTTTCTTCAAGCTAGACTTAGTCACTCAGCCATGGGGTACTGGGGTCTGATGCAGGCCAACATCTCCCCATCTAGTTACTGGTGGCAGGAGCCCTTTATCCAAGTTCCTCCTTTGTCTGATGTCCAGCCTTCCTACTTTCTTTCCTCCCTCTTCGAGGGCACCAAAGATTTCTGTGCTCACTGTTCATCTGGCCCAGGCTTCAGGCCTCTCAGTCTGCCCGCTCACCTCACGATTCTGTCTTCGCTAGTGCCATGCGTTTGTGTGTGTGTGTGTTGGGGGCAGGGCAGGTGGATTAACTTTGGCTCTTGTGAGCTCCTCCCTATCTGCCATGAGAGGCAAGCAGGTCTTCAGACATCAAATGCTAACAGTTTGATCTTGGACTTCCCAGGACCCAATGCCGTGGGAAAATTAATTTCTATTCTTTATGAACCACACAGTGTCGAATATTTTGTTAACAGCCTAGCTGGCCGGAGACAATCTCCCAAACCTTAGTTGTCCTCACTGAGGAGGACCCACACCTAAAGCACTTCCTCCAGAACTATTATGTTAGACGGACACAATTTTGGTGATTAATCACTTTTATGCTAAAATATTTTCTGCTATTCTAAATTATTTAATTAAATAAATTGAACTTCTCATGGATTTATTTCCTTGGTTAGAATGTAAGCTGCAGGAAAAGGATTTGGGAGGCTTCTTTTTGTGATTTGAATGGGGAAAGAATTTGTGGGGCTGCCCTAGAAATGCAACAGCCATAACTATGAAAATCAATACATTTTAAAAACTAGGTTTATATATTTAAAGTTTTGGGGGTTTTTGTTTTATTTTTATTTTTTGGTTTTTCGAGACAGGGTTTCTCTGTATAGCTTTGGAGCCTGTCCTGGAACTAGTTCTTGGAGACCAGGCTGGCCTCGAACTCACAGAGATCCACCTGCCTCTGCCTTCCTGGATGCTGGGATTAAAGGCGTGCGCAAGTTAGCCAACGAAGTCTGGTCCTCTGAAGGGGGCTGTACTTAATGCATAGACTAGGGAGTGATAAGGGCCAATGTGTTTCCAACCTTCTATGTCCATTTTCATTATACTCGCCCAGTTTTTTGGTTTGGATTTTTCTGAAACCCAAGTAGCACGAGAAAGCTAGCTCTGAATGAGAGTTAGATTGTGCTTTTGTTGTTTCTTTCTTCTGGTTAGGTAAGTTCTCCCAGGTTAAAAATATTTACTCTATATGCTCTCTGTTCATGCCTAGGCCAATGGCCACGCTTAGGATGCTCTTCCCACCCCACCATTCCGCATCAGGTCTTTAATATTTCAGGGAACGGAAGACAGGATGCCCTGAATTTTCTAGACCAGCTTCGTTGCCTAAAATGCAATTGTTCGCCTATTACAAGGGGGAGGGCCTGACGGCTGAGGTTGCCCTCCCTCAATCCTCCAGGCTCGGGTACCGGGTGGGATGAGGAATGAATGACTTGATGGGAAGGTGTGAGCAAACTGGAAGAATCTGTTCCTTGACTGTCGAGAGACCCCTGGCGTTTTCAGTTCAAAGGGAAGGAGAGCACCGGGAACCCGAGGGACGCGAGGGAATCGTCCGGAAGTCCGGAAAGGCTCCTGGAGCAAAAGGCCGGTCGCCTTTTCGGGAGCGGATCAGCGTCCTGAGCAAGGCCAGCAGACGCCTCCCCGGAGCCCGGACCGGCGCGAGGGGCGGGCTCCTCCGGCGGAAGGTGAGGGGTGGGGTCCGCCGGACGCCGAGGGCGGCGCGACGTGGCGGGTTCGGGTCCCGGACTGACCTGCGGGGCCCGCGGGAGCCGGGGCGCCGCGGAGCCGGCCTGGCGGAGGCGAGCGCAGTACTGATCGGTGGCCCGCACGGCGTCCACCAGCCCCTCGGCGCAGCGGCGCATCTGGCCGATGGTGTCGGCCGCCTCGATCAGGTCGCGGTAGCGCTCGCCCACCATCTGCCGCAGCTCCTCCTTCTTGTGCTCGATCTCGGCTCGAACCTGGCGCTCCAGCCCGCGGATTTCCTCCGCTCCATGCGTCTCGAAGAGCGCGTTGGGATCGCGCAGATCCAGCCGCTTCAGAGCCGAGGAGGCGGTCGCGGCCGCCATGGTGCTGAGCCAGTGGCCACCAGGCCGCTTCCGCCTGCCGACACCGTCCCGCCCCCCCGCCATCTTGGATGAGGGCGGAAGTACTTCTGCCAGGCCGGGAGCCGGTCCGGTCCCAGGGCCTGAGCCACGGTGGCAATGTTAGCCTTGAGCGCTCGTTTTTTTTTTTTTTTTTTTTTTTTTTTTTTTTTTTTTTTAACATCAGAACCTCTCCTCTCTCCCTCCCATCTTCCTTTCCCTCCCCCTTCTCCTGTCACTCCGCGTAGGGCATGTGTGGAGGTCACAGAACAACTTGCGGGAGGCTCCCTCCTGCCTTCTGGGTCTCAGGATAGAACCTTAGACAGAGGCGGTCCGACTTGGAAGCAATAGCCTTTACCCGCTGTGCCTTCTCGCCTGCCCTGAGCACTGGTTTCCTTGGAGAAGAGAGGTTGTTAAGATCGCTGAGTTAAGCGCTGAGCTGGTACTAGCTGGTCAAAGCCTTACAGTGACCTGGAACCCCCTACGTCGCCCGCTTGCCCTTTCCTTGTGAGAAAAGAGCTTCGCAGAGCGGGTTAATCATGTCAAAGGCGCACCCGTGGCCGTGTTGCCGTCACTCTTAAGTGCACACTTGTGCCCTGGCAAGACCACGTCATCCAGGACAGGACCTTAGGACTCTTTCCTAATCCTCCGGCCTCGACAGCTGGAGATCAGCGTGACAGCTGTGGTCGACCCAGTGAACAACGTCAAGGTGTAGCTTCCTGGGTGGCCTGGCGTCTGGGTGCAGTAGCCCCAGCTCCTTCGTTATTTCAAGAACGTTGGTCAAATGCAGCTTTGTAGGAAGACTAGTTTGAGCCTGTGTTTGTGGATCGGAAAGAGCACCACGTACATTTGCTTTATTGCGGATTAGTTCTTTGGATCTTCCATTTTACTTTAATTACTGTTTAGTAGCCACAAAGCAGGTTTCCCCTGTTGCAGTCCTCCTGTGATGGAGACCGGTGGGGAGTCCATGATGCCTGAGGATAGGACACCTTACGATTGACCCAGTGAGAAATCCTGGACATTCTGGTCTGCTTCCCTTCGTTTTGGAAAAGTTTGCTGTTGAGAATCCCTACCTACGTTAAAGCAGAGAGAACAGTATTATGTATTCAGCAGTACTGTGTCGCAGCCTCTGGGTTTTCGCTCCCATTTTCCACCGTCACTATTTTGAGACAAATGTCACAGCAATAGATTGATATCTAAATAAGTGCTTTATTATGACAGTGTTCCTGCCCGATACACAGGGAATTTTATTTACCTTGGGGAGAGGTGTTATCTCAGGAAGAATTTTATTTACTTTGGGGAGGGGTGTTATCTCAGTAATCATAAGCCTCTTGGCTCTAGAGTTCCTTCTCCATCAGTGTTCCCAGTACAGCGCGCCCCCTGGTGGCGTAGCTGCGATGTGCAGTCCTTCCTACGATCTCACTCTGCAAGCTGCAGGCGGTTTGCTTCTGAGCCTGAGAATCTGTTTCCTGTGTTCGGCAAGTGCGGCTCTGTCTGGCAAGACCTTTCCCCAGGACTCCTTGTACCTATGCGCCTGCATGGGAACTGGGACCGGTTCAAAAGACAAAATTAACTGGGGATTTGGAGGCTTCGTGCTGCCAGAGTGCGGGGGTTTCATCTTGGTGGAGGCATAGGTGTCGCTTGCAGCATCTTATGAGGGGTGGCAGGGACAAGACTGCAGCCATAGCTCCCTAGGGCTGGTGCTGGTGGCGCGTGTCCTCAGGCTATGCCCCGCCCCCATCACCCTGTGGCCTGCTTTGGATTGGGAATGCTCCCCCCCCTTTTGCGCCTGCCTCCTCGACTTATTTGCCCATCCTTCCCAGCAGTTATGCAAGCTGCTTGATGTCTTATTGATGCATCCAGTTTCTCTGAAAATCAGAACCGTGGGCTGTGGCTTGTCCTGGAACCTAATACTCGTTCCTCAAGCTTCCAACTCCAAAAGAGTTGCTAAAGCCTTCTCCGCAATGAGGGGGTCGGGACTGGCTACAGACCAGTTAGTGTGGGACTTGGGGCTCTCTGTGTGAGAAGCTCCACTGCTAAGCGCGTTTTGAGATCGGGGTTCGCTTTCCCGGCCTTGGTGCCGTTTCCTTGGCTGAGTTCGCCAGACAGGCCTGAAGATGCCACTGTTGCCCCTCTTCCTGCTCAGGGCTCTTCCCAGATATCTTCTCAGCCTGGGCACTGGAAAAGCTCCCTGGGCCTTGGGAACATGTGCCTTTGGCCCTGCTTTCCAAGCCTCCAGTCTTTACCCCTGAATTCGTGGAGCAGCCTCCCTCCTTTCCTGATGTTTTCCGCCTATCAGCTAGAACTATGAAAACCAGCAACTGGGCAAAGAGTGCAGCCCAAGCAGCTAGAGCAGGCACTGTGCTGGGGATGTTGGGGACAGAGGTCACTTAAGCTAGTAGGAAGTACAAGGGTACTGATAGAGTTTTAGTTTCAGTTTATGATTGGATGCAGGGATGTGTTGAATGTGGCTTTGATTTTAATTTAATCTTTGAAACAGCTATGGGTGTGTGTACCTGTGTATGTTTGTACAGTATCTGCAGAGGCCGAAAAAGGGTGTCATATCCCCTGGAGCTGGAGTCACAGGTGCTTGTGAGCTGGGAACCAAATTCAGGTCTTCTGCAAGAGCAGCGAGCACTCTTAACCACTGGGCCATCTCTCCAGCACCTTGAGTGTGACTTCCGGTATCAGTCTTCCTTTTAGCTCAAACTTTAAGCTGTAGCACTTCAAGCAGCCAGTGTTTGACCAGTTCTGTTAGGCTCCACCCAAGTCCCTGGAATCAAACAGGCATGCTTCCGCAGTCCTCGCTGCCATTCAGAGCACCATATACTGTCCGCATATGTCATCTCTGCTTCTCATAAGGATCCTATACAGAGGTGGCATCACAGATAACTAAGGTTCTGGAGGACTAAGTAACCGCCTGAGGTCACCAAGCTGCTCGGTGGCCAAGCCTGTTGCCATGGTGTCAACTGGACACAAACCTAGAGTCACCCTGGAAGAGGGAACCTCAGTCGAAGAAGTGCCTTGATCAGATTGGCTTGTGGGCGTGTCTGTGAGGCATTTAAAAATGTCGCTAACTGATGTAGGGAGGCCCAGCTACTGTGAGTAAGGCCATCCCTGGGCAGGTGGGCTTGGGCTCTATAAGGTAAGCAAGCCAGTAAGCAGTACTCTTTCATGGTCTCTGCCTCCAGGTTCCTGCCTTGAATTCCTGACCTATCATTCCTTCCATCAGTGATGAACTGTGACCTAGAAGGTATCCGGTGAAATAATTCCCCAAGTTGCTTTTGGCCAGAATATTTTATCACAACAACAGAAAAGCAAACGGGTACATTTGTTTTTGGAGTCCCGGATCTTTTTACTGAGTCTCCTGATTAGCTTTAAAAAGGTTTCAGAATATCAAGATGGCCCAGACAGCACTGACCAACATTCACTGCAGGGGGAATCTCTGCAGTTAGGTTGACAGGCCGGGGAGCATGGTGCAGCCATGCCTGCTGGCCAAGTATCGGGACGTTAGCAGGAGGGCTGCCTTTCCAAGTTAGGGACATAATGAGCTACTCTTTCTCAAGGCCTGTCAGTGTGTACCCTTGTGTCACTGAGAACACTGAGGGGAAAGATTTGTCCTTGGCCTGTCTTGCTTGTGTGAGACAGGCTCTTGCTCTTCCTCTCAGGCTAGCCTGGACCTCAGCGTGGAGCCTGAGCTAGTCCTGAATCCGTGGCAGTACTCCTGTGTTAGCCTGCTGAGGGCTAGGGTTACCGTTCTGAGTCATCATGCCTGTGGTTTTGCTCTTGTGTTTTGGGTGTGTGGGGGAGGAAGACAGGGTTTCTCTATGTAGCTGTGGGCTGACTTTGAATTTGAGATACTCTTATATTCTTGCCTCAGCCTTGCGAATGCTTGGGTCTGTAGGCATGTGCCACCGCAATGCTTGGCCCTTGCTTACTTCAAACAAAAACACAGAACTCATTTTTTTTTTTTCCAGGACGGGGATTGTCTGTGTAGCCCTGGCTGTCCTAGAACTCAATCTGTAGACCAGGCTGGCCTTGAACTCAGAGATTCACCTGCCTCAGCTTCCCAAGTGCTGGGATTAAAGGCATGCACCACCATGCCCAACTGAAATCAACTTATTTTTATTCTATGCATATGGGTGTTTTGTCTGCATTTATGTGTACTGTGTGCATGCAATGCCCGTGGGGACCAGAAGAGGGCATCAGAACCCCTGGGAGTGGCACTATGGAGAGTTGTAAGCCACCATATAGGTTCTGGGAACAGAATTCAGGAGTTCTGGAAGAGCAGCCAGGGCTCTTCATTGCTGTACCATCTCTCCAGCTCCTCATCCTTCTTACTTTTTAATAGAAATACAGAAAACTAGCTTGAATAATGCTTAAAACAGAAGAATCTTGCTGTACTTTGGATATTGAGCATCTGCCACAGGTCCACAGGCTAGAGGTTTGGTCCATCGGGTGGTGCTTTGGGGATGTGTGGAATCTTTAAGAGGTAGGGTCTCGTGTGAGGTCAGGTCATTGAGAGTATGCCCTTGAAGGGGACTGTGTGACCTTTGCCTTCTCCTTGCTTGCTCTTTGCTTTCTGGTCATGAGGTGAGCGTCTT